GGCCTCAACTGATGATCCATCCTCGAATTCGATGGTACCATTTTCCTTGGCAATATATATCTATACTAACAAACACATAAAAAGTTATTAAAATTAATCACCAAGTAGTGCAATCAAATATTGCAATGCTAGGAGAGTAGGAGGTCTTGATGAGTAAAGAACCTTCTTAGCAAGCTTAAATATTCAGAGATATATGTAATTATGTATCATGTAGGGTTGCAGGCCAAAGCCATAACAAATACAAGGACCATTAATTCAGATTATAAAGTTTATCATAGTTAGCATACATCGAACATTTTAAGAACAGGAATAACCAATATGACAAAATAACAACAATAAACAAATTAAAATGTAAATTATGTGACAGTGTAGTCATTCAGTGTGTATGATTTATGAGTTCATTTTAAAGCTCTTTTCTCAATTGTTCTTCACAAACCTTTTACAAGATTTCTAGTACAACATGAAGGTCTAGGGGTCACCTGCCCTGGCCAACAATAGTAAGTGAATAATCAATACTCTTTACTTCTTTAGACAACCTAACTCAAACAACTTCACATAAGATGCATATGGAAATATGGAATACTATCCTACAGGCCACAAACAAAAATCCAAGACTAGTGATGCAGAAAATGAGCAATAAGTTGTAAAACATCTCGAGATTGGAAGGAGTAAGAGAAAGAATCAAAGAAGTACTCTCAAACACAAATGTTAATTCTCTGATCACGCATCTGCGCATAGGATAAGTTGAAAATCTGTAAATAGTTCAATCTATATTGCAATCAGAACTGCTTATTCAATCTATCTCTATTGCATTCATAATAGCTTAAAGCCGTTTTCTTTTAGAAAAGATCACAATATAAACTTTGATCTCTTTTAATTGGTGTAAAGTTTTTTGCAGACTGTCTGTCGGGTTCTAGATGGTTGAGATCATTACATACATAACAATGGTTTGCACCAATAACACCTCAAACAGTAAGCAAATATTAACAGAAGTACTAACTATTTACAATAGTAAGAGCAAAGTAGGAACAGAATATACTACACAACTTACCGCAGAGTGCTGCCATATATTACAACAGTGATCAAGTTTTACAAACTTTGCATTAGGCGATCTTGAAGAGAGATGAACCTCCTTAGCAACTGCTGAGATATCACGTGATATATCGTATGCACTAGCCCCATTTCCAATGATTACTACCACCTATTAATATTATTTAGTCAATCATGGACATCAATTAACACATCAGTTAATCGAACCAAATGCTTTAATCTATATAAGAAGTCTTGAAGTTAACAATGTAGGAAAAACCTGGTCCTTAAATTGCTCAGGAACTCGGTAATTGTGGCTGTGTATCTGTTTTCCTGGCCATTTCTCAATTCCTGTCAAGTGTCAACAAGTTATAAACAGAATTTTAACAAGTACAAAATGAGTAGAGAAGAATCATATAGTTAATGTACATTATCATAGTTCTTTAGCTCAATAACATAAACTATTACATGATAAAATCAACCTGAGCTTCTAATTATGAAGTTTATATAAGCAGTTGACACAGGAAAAACATCAGTAACTGAGTACAAGTTCACTTGCCAACTACTCTACTAAGACTTCTACCACCTTCATTGTACTAGTAAAGAATATTCAAACAATTTCTAGTTTGGGGCTGCCCTTTTTTTTTCCTTGTTTCCAATTGGCAAAACCAGCCTCAAGTTTGCAAGAAACTTTACAATACCAACCGTTCTCTTTGAATTCCCTAATATCACCCCCATATCTAGGTGAGCAATGATCCACCACCACAACCCGTCACTTTAAATATGCAAATATAAGTAACTAAAATTGGTCATGAGATCGATCTAGGCCGAGCCCAAAACAGGGTATTAGACCAAGTGATTGCCAATGTTAGCTAAGGTGAGCAAAGTATGATCCAATCTCGTGGGTTTCTAATTTTGAAAAACCAAATTGCCACTCTTTAGGACAGCAACAAAACTACAACCAACACGAAAAACTTTTAGCCTCATTGCATATTGTAACAGAACTTTGTAACTTTCAAAAGTCATGACAAAATCATAAGCTGTACAATGCTTAATATTTACTTTTAACTCCGACTTAAGGGTAAATAATTAAATATTGAGTTGAGTCGTCTAACCTGATATGTTAGCTACCCGGGGCACAGTACAATGACCGTTACAAACAACCACAGCATCAAAAACCTCTTCTTCCAACTTTACCCCTCCATTTTCCACTCTCCTCCATTCAACCACCCACTTATCCACCCTTCCACCCACTGGCTCCACCCTCACAACCTCCGAGTTAAACCGTATCAACTCAACGATTCCAAACCGAGTCGCAAAATCATTCAAAAATGCCAGCACTTCTTGATGACCCGGAAAAACTCTCGGATCGCCGTATACTCTCACATCAAACCCGAAATCGGAGAAGCCCATCAAAACCCGGGGCAAATTCGTCCTTAATGAGTAATAGACACTGCTTTGAACACTCATGACTCAGTGGATCGGACTCGACTCGCGGGTCGTAGACCCATATACCACCGAGTTTGTCCGATTTCTCGAATATGATGACTCGGTGACCTTCTCGTCGGAGCTCCCGGGTTGATATTATCCCTGCTACACCTCCACCTATTACTGCCACTTTAAGTGATCCCATCTGATACTAGATGTAATTAAGATTACCAATTTAATGTTGAAAAATTAAATGATTGACATATACACCTCTTTATTCTTTAATTAATAAATTCAAAGATAATGCACATTATGTACTTGAGGTAAAAAGGAGGCACTATTAGTTGTTTTGATTGTGCACAACTATATCATGAATGTAATCACACAAGTATCAAATCGCATCTATATCATTGCAAATCGTAACGAATAAGAGGACCAACGATAATCAAGTTGAGGGCATAAGTAATATGATGTTCTGATGAAGTGATGAGTCATGATACCAGCAGTATCTGCATAGACTGAAGCATAATGCTATTAGGTTTAAAGGGAAACAAAAGTTGATAAAAAAAAAAAAAAAAAAAAAACATGGGCCCTGAACCCCCTGTCATGTAGCAAAAATGTCAATATTGATGAATGATGATAAGAGTACATAAATTGCAAATGCATCAGCAGCCACAATATTATCTCTAAGATTGTCCTCTAAATTTAAGATTAGTAAAGATTACTACATGTGATACAGCATGAAGCACTTTATCATATGATTTTTTGTCATTTTTCGCTAAATTCTAACCATTGGTCCATTCACGGCCAATAACTGACCACACAACACTGATCATAGCTACCGAGAATAAAGAGAAAACAGCCAAAATTACATTATACGAAGTATATCGCTATAGTTTTAACCCTATGTGCTAAGCAAGTCATCAGGATTTATTTTTGCGCTCCTATGCTCTCTACCTTCAACTCTGCAAGCCTAAAACAGTAAAACCAAAGTATCCTAAAGATACTAGAAAATTTGGGGTCTGTATCAGCTGGCTTGGTTTGAACATAACTGAAGTCGTTGGGCCGGGACTAAGCCGAGTCCAGAATGCTACACCCCCTAGTTGAGGGAATTGCTGTTCTCGACATTGCAGTATGTTTGCGCACAACACTCAAGGCCAATGTGTTAAGTGTCAAGCCTCAGGTACCTAACGCTCTCAGTCTGCTGCTCAGTGGCTGCAGCAAAAGGTTCCTGAGAGCTTCAAATGCCAAAAAGTAGGCCATCTTGAAGTTCATTTGTTAGGTTGCCTCTGTACAATCTCCGACTTCAGCTTTTCAGTGTTAGTTTAGAAAACAAATGTCATTCTGTTCCTAATATTGCAAATCATTTGACACTCCGCAACAAGTCTTTTATTCCCCAGTGAAACTCATGGCAAATAATTTTCACAAGGAGCTAGGAACATATGTTTCTACTTTCTATAATGCATCCATCTATTCTTATGCTTCAACACCATTGCAAATTTGGGATGAACACTTCAATATAACTAAGCATGTGCTTCATGTAGCGCAAGTGTATAAGGCCAATCAGTAAAAAGAAATTCGAACACCTAATAAAGCTTTTGACAGATATGACTATATGAGCAAACTTAAATTAGAAACTCATAGAAAATAAATATATCTGTGTCCAGTTGAAACTTTTGAAAGGGATTAAATGATATATGGCTTCAGAATAACTTAACTTTATTTCTATGTTCAATAGGGGAATCAAAATACATCATCAGCAACTCATTGAACCAGCCCATAGCATAATAACATTGTTCCTACATTACAAAAACATCACTAGTTGCATACTTGCATGAGATAATAGTGTTCCGTTCTCAATTGACAATTCCAATAGCTAAGAAACTGCTAAGTTACAGGTTCATTCATTATTTCAATCAACAGCTCAGTCTCCATGACGGAGAGGACCAAGCTGACTAAATGAGCGAGGATAAATATTTTTGAGGCTGTAAACTGCTTCTATCAAACCATCAAGCTTTCAGCTAATAACTCTCCAAGTCAACATCTTATCACAGTTCAATATCATGGGATGGCCAAGTTTCACAAAAATCAGCATGATATGAGGCATGAGGGACGACCCGCAGCTAACCCAATTAATGAAAATCTGAAACAGATTGAGCAAAAATAATACTTCGTAATAATGATAGGGCCAGCATAGCCCAGCGAGCAACACTATCCAGAGCACCAGCCCGCAGGCTACCAACCAAGGTCCAGTGCCAGCTCTCAAGCAAAGGACTGAGGCAAGCAATTTACACAAGATTAGTAGCAAGCGTAATAATATATGGGCCCTGAACCCTGAAGCCCCTGATTAGTAGCTAAAAATGGCAACAACAACGAGATTGACTACACAAGATCTTCACATGCGTTAGCAGCCACTACATTAACACCTATATTGTCCTCAAGCTGCGAAAAGTACTACTACTCTCTTGCATATATTATTTCAGGAAGTCCAGAAGAAAAGTCATAATTTCTAAACTCGAAAAACCTTGTGGAATGGGAAGACAACAGGTATACAGCTATTATAAAAGGGCATTTTGGTGAAAGTGTGGAGATTTCATAGTCATGAAAGGTTGAGATTCTTGATAGCAATGTGATAATAATTCCAGACACACAGGAGTATCAAATACTGACCACAAAACACTGATAATATCAATTCTCATAAACCTCTCAACCCCACTTCCCCAAAACAGAAAGGGAACAGAACCAAAATAAATACAGTTCATATTACTATATTTTTCACGCTATATATATACTTTTTAGGTTATAAAGATTATTTCTGCAGATTACTTGTATGAAAAAAAATGGATTTTCAGAGCTCAAAGGCAATTGCTTTGTTCATACTTTTCAACATACTGTTCTGTGCTTGTGCTTCAGCTCACAGTATCCCAGCTTTCCCATGCTCTCCCCCTTCAGGCCTAAAACCTAAGTGTCCTAAAGATACTCTTAAATTTGGGGTCTGTGGTAGCTGGCTTGGTTTGGTTACTGAAGTAATTGGAACTAAGCCTAGTCCAGAATGTTGCACCCTCGTAAAGGGCATTGCTGATCTTGAAGCTGCAGTGTGTCTGTGCACAGCACTTAAAGCTAATGTGTTGGGTGTCGTCAAGCTTAAGGTACCTGTTGCCCTCAGTCTCCTGCTCAATGGCTGTGGAAAGAAGGTTCCAAAAGGTTTTAAATGTTAAATATTGGACATCATGGTCCATTTGTTGCTTGATTATTTGTTGACTTTTTTCTTATTGTTTTTTATTTTATGCTATAAGTTTCAGTTTGGAAAATGATGTTTGTAATGCTATATATTCTATAATGAATAAGACCTATAAAATTTGTTCTTCAATTACTGCTTTAGGTGACCATGGTTGACTTGATCCATTTTCTTGGCTATTCTAGCTTCGTTCTGTTCAGCTGAAAACCCTAGAAGTGAACTTAGTTTTTCATATCTGAGCTTATTGGCCCTTATTTGAACTTATATCAACATAAAACAGTTGTGACTTGTGAGTTTAACTAAGCCACTAAGGTATCCCTTTCTGAACATAACTTTCTTTATATGAGCTTATTACTTTTTTTTTTTTTTTTAATATGAAAAGAATAATGCCAAGACCATTAAACATTCAAGATATTCAAACATAAAAGTTCAATGAAATGCTAACTTGAATGGAAGCCTCTTTGCATCTTAACCACAATTATTTCTTACTTTATAAAAAGTGGGGATTATATAATAGCTTTAGTAGTTATGTAATTCAGTACACAAACAATTACAAATATCAAACAAGTAAAGCCTTACAGGTAAACTTACTCCCAACTTTGCTGATGGGAGATTGCTAATCTACCACACACAACTTCAACGAAGTATTCTATATGACATCTTCGAAATCGCTAATAAGAATGTTGAGCCTGCAATTTTAAGTATCATAATATCATTCCACTACAGTCTTTAAAATGAACACTGAACAAAGATGGGAAGAACAAGAGCGAAAAGTACCTCATATCTCATTCAGTGAGGTCTTGAGAGGATAATCACTCGGTGATGCCCAACCCTTGTCTCACTTATACGACCTAGGTGACGAAGAACCTGTAGGAGATTACAAATAACACGATTTTACGTAAGGCTTTCATTACCAGACACCGATTTAGGCAGTAGACATGTTCCAACATCAGCAAAAGTAGAATAAGCTCAACCAAAGCCAGAACTAGTTGAAAATATATGTTTTTTATTATTTTAAAAAAAAAAAGTTTAAAAAAAAAATTTAAAAAAATCTCACATTACAATAAAATCTTACATTTAGACAACAACAAATGTTCCCTCAGCAGCTATGGGGCAGTGACACTGCATGCAATAACATTTTGCAGAGATAATACGGTCTTTTTTTCACTTTTTTTTGGCCCCCAATGATTAAGTTAGAATGGTTTTTTTCGGATGGAAACCGAGTTTGACCAACTTAGATACCGATCTGACATGACTCTCCAAGGACTCAAAGCAACTGTTTTTTGGGGACGACTTGAAACTTCTCAGGTGCAGTAAAAATGCACAGCCCTGAGTCTTCCATGCACATGTTCCAATCATAGGAGGGGTGGAGGTACGAAACAATAATGCAGCCAATATTAAGACATAACAAATTTTTGTCTCATCAAACTACTATCACTCTATTAGAAACTGTTGCTGCAATTCTGATACACATGAACTTGTCCAGGTAATAGAATAATACTTGTAGTTACTAGTTAGTATTGCAGTATCTCTACATCATGATAAAAAAAAAAAAAAAAAAAAAAAAAACTGTGATCACTTCCAGCAAAATTCAGCATAATGTTTGCACTTTGCACCATTAACCAATATCCAATCTCAAAAACAAAGGGCGTGAAGAAGCACAAAAAACAGCAGCAAATCAAGTATTCCGAATATGAAAAAAAAAAAAATCAGTTCTTAGTCTGGATAAAGAGATAGTTGAAGTTCAATAAAGTGTTGCATTAGGTAAAGCAGGGTGGTTCAGTAGATTTTAAAAATTGCTGCTAAATTTTACGTTTGTTAGACAATGCAAGTAAGAAAGAGAGAGTAATGGAAGAACAATCTTTACTACTTGTCTACTTTGCTTGTCGGGGGAGTTGACTCACTGTCAGTATTGCTTTTCCAGTGTTGTCAAGCTTCAGGGAAGGTCCCTTTATGTCACTCTCAAGAAAAAAATGTTTTCCTTTAACTCCTTCAGTCATTGCTATATCTCGCAGCTCCTGCATAGAAAGATGGAAACATGGAACATTTTAGCAAAATAATGCACTGATATAAAGCTTCGTGTAACCTTTAGACAGGTGAAGGGAAGAAAATAGAATGTCAAAACAGCTCAACAAGTACCAAATTTAACAACACATTCTTTCCATAACAAAGGAGATGATCTAATTCATTGTAAGATGTTCTAAAATAAGTGAATTGTAATAAAGCTCACTCACCAAGGCTCTTTCCCACATGTTTTCTGGCAACTTCACAGAAAAATTTACAGTAATCAGTAAGAAATGACTCAAAAAACACAGAATAATTTAACCACAAACATAAGATAAAGCAGGAAACCTTCTTTTTAGGGGCTGAGATAAGCTGTGCAGTTGATTCAGCATAGGCTGCCATATCATTTATAGCAGCATTGACTTTCTCAAGGGTCAATCTTCCTCTCATGTAGCTATTAATCACCATGAAAAAAGAGTTAGCTATAGAGGATATTATTACAAGCATATAGCCAAGCAACAAAAAACAAATCTCAATCAAACTGGCAAGGTTGTTAGGAACTTAACGACGATAGAGATCCCAACTCATCTCCAGAAATGTACCACAAAGGCGGAGGTCCACGACCCTTTTTCTCCTGTTAGATAAATAATCAGTCATAATTGGCCATTACTGAATCCTGTCATACTAACCAGTATAGTGAAACATTCAAACTTACCTTGTGCACAACAACCGGCTCCTCTTCAACCTTCAACGAACCCAACAACGATAGGTCATCCTTAGAAGAATCTGACTGCAAGCTTTACCAACAAAAAAAATAATCTTAACAACCTCCAAATCGCCAATGTAGTAATCTTTGTAAAAATAACATTTCATAATCTAGAAATCATGATACGAATCAAAGCACCGGCTTACTGGTGATTAGAGTCGGGCAATGAAGACATCGTTTTAGTGGTTAAGTGAGAAGGAACATGAGTTGCCATTTCCTGCAGCTTTTTCTGCTGCTTAAGTGATGCTTCAATCAATTTCTGCATATTTCCAAAACAGTATTGTTTATATTTTATCATCTAATTTCGTCAATCAAAGAGCTTACATAAGCAATTATGCACATCTTTGTTATAAAAATCGTAAGACTTTTACCGATTTCATCTCATAATTTCAATCAAACAGAACCCTAACTTCAAAATTGATATCATAATTCATAAACCCTAATTAAAAAAAGGAAAGAGAGAGAGAAACCTTGGCTTTGGGAAGAGCTAGGGTTTCTTCGCGTAATCTATCCTTAATAGATTGAACTTGAAGTTCCATGGCTTTCACTGCCGCATCAACCGCCGTGAGATCGGCGACGGCACTTCCCGGATACACTGAAATCAGGTTTTTGACAATCAATTTCATAAAATCAATGAAATTTCATCAAATTGAGTGAGAAAAAAGAGTGGAAGATGGAGAGAGAAATAGTAACTGTTTCGAGCAATGATGAGTTCTTGGAGCTCGGAAATGCGAGTATTGAAGGACACTATTATTGATTCTACAGAAGATCCTGCTTCTTTGGCTTCCATTGTAATCAAGCTTGCTATCTGTTTCCGTGTTGATTGTTGCTGATGAATGAGGAATAACTGTTTGAATTTTGGGGTGGGATTTAGGAAGTATGTTGTTTGGCGGGAAAATGTTTTGGAGTTTAACTTTTGTCAAACGTTAGTCAAAGACGACGATAAGGAAGGATTCGATACACGTGGTCTTGGCGCTATAGTCTTTTCTCATCGGCTTAATTTTGCCAAATTTAACTTATTTTTACTAATCTAATTTATTTTTGTTGAGCTAAACTCATACAAGTATGAAGAATTGTTAAATAAACAATTTAATGGACTGTTTATTGAATTAGAATTTATTGAATTGTTTAATTTTCAATCGAAAGATGATTGAAGGAAGAATTAAGTTTTCTCTCTAAATATGGAGAAAGAGGGTCTCCCTGCCTAAGTCCCCTCGTGGGTGAAACTGAGCCACAAACATTCCAATTGACAATAAAGGAGTATTTAATCGAAATCACACAATCCATAATTTTCGCCACCCATCTGTCCGCAAACCCCAATTTCAAGAGCAGTTTTTCTAGAAAATTCCACTCAACTCTATTGTAGGCTTTACTCATATCCAGCTTCATAGACACCATGCCTCTTTTACTGCTACATCTCGTCTTCATTGTATGAAACAATTCCAGGGCTATGAGAGCATTGTAAGTAATAATCCGACCAGGGACAAAAGCACTCTGATTCTCCGAAACAATGTCAGGGAGGATAGATTTCAGTCTCATCACAATGGCCTACGAAGCAATTTTATACAACACATTACAGAGAGCAATAGGCCTACATTGTGACACCAGAGTAGGGGAATTCACTTTTGGGATAAGCACAATGTTATTATGATTAACAGGACCAATTGACTCATTACCCTATAATATACTACTAACAAGTCTGGAAACATCATCACCTACAATATGCCAGAATTTTTGGAAAAAGATAGCATGCATACTGTCAGGACTCGGAGCCTTACAGGGGTGCATTTGTTTAAGAGCGGCAAAAATCTCCTCCTTTGAAAACGGTCGCATAAGCTCAGAATTAATGTCTGGAGTCACAAGTCTCTCAGTTGCCTCAAGAACCTTAGTGCACGCATCCTCGGAAAAAGTGTCAGCAGCAAATAAGTTTTTATAGAATTGTTCGACAATCTTCTCAATATCTTCTAGCTCCTCTTTCTAATTACCCTCGGCATCATAGAAACCTTTTATCTTATTTTTGTTCCTTCAGTGAGAGGCTTTATGGTGGAAATATTTGGAATTGCGATCCCCGTCCTTGATTTCTGAGACCCTAGACCTCAAGTACCAATAGGTTTCCTGCTTATCAAAAAGTTCCTCCAGCTGCTTCTCAATGTCAGCACATTTAGTAAGAGACTCATCTGACATCGCCTCCCCTTGCGCCTCTTTCAATTCCTTCTCGATCTTGTCAATTTGCACCTCCAACCCCTTGAACTTACGACCACTCCAGCTCTTCAGATCACCCGCAACCCTCTTCAAACGGTCACCCACCTCACCCGTACTGTCTCCCTAAGCCCCACGCACTACCTCCTCACATTCCCCATCGAGCAGCCAATGAGTTTCAAATCAAAACCACTTTTTCTTTTTTCACTTCTTTTTCCTCCTATATATGTTCGCCAAATTTCAGAAAGATTGGTGAATGATCAGATATTTTACGAGCCATTTTGTCCACCACCTGGTTGAGAGAAAGCTCGAATCAAGGACCATTTTCCACAAAACGATCCAACCTCTCCCTAATAAGAGTTTGTACAGTCCGACCTTTCTCCCATGTAAACCATTGCCCTTCATACCCCAAGTCCCTAAGCTCACAATCGTGAAAAACTTCCCGAAAATCAGGCAAAGCCCTTCTTGCATTATCAACTCCGCCCTCCTTTTCACCATACGACAAAATCTCATTAAAATCACCCCCAGACAACATAGGCCCCTCAACATCATCACATAACTGTCTAATTAAGGACCAAGTTTTGTGTTTATTACCAGACTCCGACCACCCATAAATCCCCACAAAACGCCAAGCCATACCCGGCTCAAGCTTAACATCACCACAAATATGATTTTGGGAGAACGAAACCAGAGAAAAATCCACACAATCCCCAATAAATACATAACCCCCCAGATCTACCAATACTACTCACACCAAAAGAATACGGAAATTTGAAACTAATTTTATTATTCTCGGCAATGCTTTTATTAACTTTTGTTTCAAACAAAAATAAAATATCAGGAACTAAAGAAGAGCACCACATTCGTAGTGCCCGAATTTCACGAGGGCTAGCAAGCCCCCTGCAATTCCAACATAAAGTACTCATTGGTCTTGGCGGGGTTGATCCATGTCAACCTCTGCCGGACTAGAAGAAAGAGAAGGCACCTCAGAGCTTGCTTTGAATCGCTTCCCAAAGGATGTCTCACTCGTTTCCACTTCAACAGAAGAGTCAAGAAGTTTTCTTTTCCCATAAAGGGGTGGTTGCTCCTCCATATTAGTATCCATATCTCTGTCAATGCGTTTCCATGTCTTACCGTGAGAGTCTCCTCCTTTTTTCTCTCCAAGCACACGCTTCTCTAACTCCAACCTTGGAGTTATTAGGGGGTCAGCCACAAGTATCGGATTGATAAGGGAAGAGGCCTCTCCATATTTATTTATTCTTGTTGCAGATGCTTTCTCGGGTTTGATGCGGAAAGCTTTAGTTGATGGTTCTATTCATGATGCCAAAGCTAGCCGCAGAGGTCCAGAAATTTCTCACCTTCTTTTTGCAGAGGATAGTCTTCTTTATGAAAGAGCCAACCGAAGGAAGTGTTCCCAGATTGTTGAAATCCTCAACATATACGAACAAGCTTCCGGTCAGAAAATTAATTATGAAAAATCGGAGGTCTCTTTTAGTAAAAGGGTGAGTGCTTCGGTGCAAGAGGAATTATTGGGGGTTTTGGCTATGCGTCAAGTTGATAAGCATGAGAAATACTTGGGGATTCCGACAATGATTGGTAGATAAAAAAAGACGATTTTTGCAGCCCTCAAGGATAGAATATGGAAAAAATTGTCAGGGTGGAATTTTTTTTTTATCGAGAGCGGGCAAGGAAATTCTCCTCAAATCTGTTATCCAAGCCATTCCAACTTATTTTATGGGAGTCTATAAAATTCCGGAAGGGGTAATTGGGGAGATTCATGCTATGATGGCTCGCTTTTGGTGGGGAAATGATACTACCCGGAAGAAAGTTCACTGGAAGAGTTGGAAGAATCTTTGTTCTCCTAAGTGCCTAGGGGGCATGGGCTTCAGGGACTTACGAGTCTTCAATGATGCCCTCCTTCGTAGACAAGCATGGAGGCTAACCAGTAACCCAAATTCTCTCCTCAATAAGGTGTTAAGTGCGAAATATTATGCGGGCAAGAGCTTCCTTGAAGAAAATTTGGGTTATGGAGGTAGTTTCTCTTGGCGCAGCATATGGTCTTCGAAGGCCCTTTTCAAGGAGGGGTTGCTTTGGAGGATAGGGAATAGAACAACAATCGACATATGGCATGATCCTTGGGTTGATAATGGCGAAAGCAAGTTCATTACCACCCCTTGTTCGGATGTTGTGACTTGGGTAAGTGACTTAATAGACCACGACTCTCGCCAATGGGATGTTCAACGCATCGAAAATATTTTCAATGTTGAAGACATTCGTAGCATACTAGCAATATAATCCCCTTGTGTCCGAATGTTGCTAAAGACTCTATAATGTGGGCCTTCTCGAATGATGGTTGCTATTCTGTGAAAACAGCCTATATGCTAGGCAAGTCATGTAATCTTGATCTGTTTCACAAAGCATGGATAGAGATTTGGAAGCTGGAGGTTACCCCGAAAGTCCGGCACTTTTTGTGGCGAGTTTGTACGGGAACTCTCCCTGTAAGAGCCTACCTCATGCATAGGCACATGACTAAGGTAGTGAACTGCCCATGGTGCTTGGACTGCCCAGAAACCGTCCAACATGCCATGTTCGATTGTCACACTGTGTGTGAACTTTGGGTAGAGTGCGATTGTGTGGAGATGTCGTTTTGACCAACTGGTATGTCTTTCTTGGATTTAATTGAATTATGGAGTAAGCTGGATGCAAGGAAGGTGAGTAGAGGTGTGATTTTAATGTGGTACTTATGGAATCGGAGAAACGAAATGGTCTTCAATGGCAAGGAAGTTTATCATCCCGTCATTGTTGAGCGTACTCACCGCCTTGCGGCTGATTGTAACTCCTACATGAAGAAGATATACGGAGGGGTCAAAAGAAATACATGCCGCAGCCCCAAAGTATGGAAAGCACCACCGGAAGGTATTGTTAAACTCAATTGTGATGCTTCCTTGTGTGATGATGGTTGGGGGTGATTGCTAGAGATTGGAAGGGGGATGCCCTCTTTGCTGCGGCCAGAAGAGTGAGAGCTCATTGGTCTTCGATTATTGCGGAAGGGAAAGCGACTGTCTTGGCCATAAAACTTGCAAAACGCTTCGGATTGAAGGAGGTTATAATCGAATCTGATAGCCAAGTTATCATCAATCGCTTAACCAAAGCATCGATCTTCTTCACTGACCTGGATGCAATTTTAGATGATATTTTATCTTCTTGTTCCTCTTTTTCTTCTGTTATTTGGTGTCATGTTAAACGAGACGGTAATGTTGTGGCTCATAATTTAGCCCGCTTAACGCCTTTTGGTGTAGAACAAGTTTGGGAGAACCATGTCCCTTGTGAGGTTTCTCCCTATGTTTTGATGGACAAGTTATCAATATAAGGCACCTACAACGTTTTCTTAAAAAAAAAAAGTTTTCTCGCTATAATTTCAATCTTTTTGTTCTTATTGCTTGGTCAAAAGTCAAAACTAGTCTAATTTTCTAAGAAATTTTGACTTTTTATTGTCGCATTGTTTGTTTAATTCATTTTTTTCCATTTCAATAAATGTACCTATAACAAGTGTAAACAATTTTTATTTGAATGTATGTTATGTATGTACTTGTATGATGGGTGTTTTAGTTTTACGACAGAGTAGTTAATAAGATGATATATGATCTATTTGAAACTATCTAATGATGAAAATTCTCTACAAAACATAAATACTCCGTAGCACTTGTGAAATAATTATTAATGAAATCCTTGGTCCGGTTGCCATTTTATTTGGCCTACGCTTCCTCATCATTCTTACGCGAGGTGGGACTTTGAATTTACCATGATCATTACTTCAACATGAGTGGATATGTAAAGACTAGGAGTAGCTTGATATTACTTGAAAGATTGCATGAACATTTATTATTTATTTTTGCTAATTAAAATTACTCAAGACATGAGATCAAATCAATTTTAGTTTTTTGGATTATTGTTTCAATATTGTAAATTCAATTCCATCAAACATTAGCAATCTACACTCCTTGTATATAATATTAATAAGCCACATGTTTGCTTAAGGTCTTCTAAATAGTTAAATTTCTATTAAAAAAAATGTTATGTCCATAATAAATGTGGCTTAATATTAAGAAAAGGAGATGGTTATATATTTAAAACTGACAAAGTTGTGAATTAGCAATCTGAAGCTACTCGATAAATAAGATAGCAGTGTGATTGGGGTGTATCACACATTCACACTCATTCCTTTTTATAAACGAGTGCAAACTACAACTCTGTATTATATTTCATGTAAGATGAATAATCAACCTATTGAATCGACCAAGAAATTTACGACCACATGGGGGTACAATTTGCAACCCTTTGATCGCATAAAAAGGCAAACCCAAAATTCACGTACTCGTCCCATGTAATAGGGATTCGACTCTCAGGATGTTTGTGTTTATTTTAGTATGAATTTTGGCTTTGCTTATTTTTCTAATAACTACCCTTTACTGGGATTTACAAATAATTATCGAATTATGCGTTTACTTTGGGTTAGCTTTTGGAGACATTCTTGGAAAAGTCATATTAATCTGTCTCATCTCTTGCTTAACTTTGGCTTTGAATCTGCTGCATGCATTGTATTTTTTTGGTGCAACTTATGAATAAATATATACAAATAATACGGAGTATGATTAAACTAAGGTATTTATAATATGGTTGATTAATTTTGGTCAAATATAAGTTCATCCTCCTTTATTAATTACTCTACCGTACCTAGTAAGTTGGTGGGGACTCATTGATAAACTTTGGTTTTAAAGTTTGCGTTTGTTATTTAGTCATTTGACTTTTAACTTTGTCATATTCTATTATTCTTTGTGCATCTTTGGAATTCGTTGTGTATGACTTTGCTTGAAAGAATTGGAAGACTGTACTTGGAACATCCTCTAATAGGAAATCTGAAGAATGATTTGAGTTGTGTTGTACTAATTTAATGAATTAGTATGTTCGTTTATTATTGTGAGTTTGGGATGCTAGTGAATTGAACAAGACCCTAGAGAGGGTGAGGGGATATTGTCACGAGTCAGAAAACGTGAGGAGTAACTTTAAGTTGATCACAAGTTTTATAGTAGCTAGATAAAAAAAAACAAACATATTAATTTGGACTATATTATCTAAAAAACGCGTAAAAAAAAACAGGTAATTAACTAGGGATGATTATTAATAGATTGGAGTATTAATTATTGTTATATACATAGTATAACAAAAATAATATATAGTACGTAACATGCAAAATTTGTATAATATACGAGTGTTTATTAGTATACAAGATTGATTGATGACGAAAATCACAGAAATCAGTTTTGAAAATAACTTCTACTTGTATGTAATTTATTTGAAGTGATCTAAACTTATTGTTATCAGCATTTGCCGTGTAAAAGACCTACTGTAATTATCAAATATGATGTTTATGACAATGCATCTACATTAATTGGACTAGATGATCATCATCACCCGTTTATCAGCATTGAAATGCGGCAATCAATACATGCACTAAATTCTTTCAGTGTAATTGAAAAACTATGAACATTATGCTTTCACGTATGCAGAACATTATTCAATGTGAATTACAAGCATTCAATCTTTTAATTGAAAATCAGGTCCATTTGGTGTCAAAAAACCAAACGATCAATAAGTGGACACGAAATTCTTAATAAGGAAACATTTACACTGAAATTAATTCTTTTTTTTTTTTTTTTTTTGTGTGTGTTAATAGAGCCACAAGGGCAAGTGATGAGAATCGATCCCATAATCACCTAAAACCGGGAGGGGAATCTAACCACAAGGGCAACTGAAATTAATTGTTGTGTAGTATCATTCCACATCCTAGCTAATTTATCAATACATCATTATTATTATTACTGAAAAATATTTATATTGACTGCAAAGATATATAACATATTATGCTTAGAATTTAATTAATTAATTTTAACTAAAAGTTGGTGTGATCACAAAATTTCTGACTGTCTAAACCAAAACATACTAATCAGTACTGATGACTGAGATTCAACGAAAATTAAAACCAAGTCGTTTCTGATAAACTTGTACATTTTACATGCATAAACAAGATACGAGTAAAATTAATGCATGATTGAATTATAAAGAGGAATTTTTTTAAAGAAAAGAGAAGCTAATAATTAAGCAACGTAACAAATTTATGATCAAACACTTCTCTTTTTTTTTTTTTTTTTTGAAGAATATGATCAAACATTTCTAAGTAATAAGATTAATTACGTAAGTGATCATATACTATTTCTTAGAAGGAAAAAAATATATATTATTATGTAAAAAAAGGAGTTGTTACACTCTACTACTATTTCATATATAAAAGACCGTAGATTATTTGGTCTTATCAACGTACCGCTTAACTCTAACTACTTAGTTTTCTCAACGTTTCGAAACTCCAAAATTCAAAATTTTAGTTGTGAGTAGGAGGGTGCACTTTTGGTGGTGCATAATCTAAGTTAAAACCTGTTTGTGGCACTTCATTTTTCGGTCTCGGCACACGCCATAATACAACTCTAGGACTCTTCCTCTTAACAAGTTTCGTTGAAGTTTTAGTATATGCACGCGTTGTTCCATCTTGTCTTTTGTATTGTTTCGCATCATGTTGGGCCTTGTGATCGTGTTCTTCCTTCTTTTGCTTCGTGTTTTTCTCCTTCTTCATTGCCTTCGTCCCATGTTCGTTGCCTAATTTCGTAGCAGTCACTTGTGATGGGTTCATGTTGATAGTACTCTTAACTTTCACCGTCTCCATTTTCTACATAAATATGTATAAATACAAATGAATTTTTTTTTTCTTAATTAATCCCTTTCTTAGCAAATTAAAGGGATTTATAGTAGAAAGAAAATAATTTGACGATGGAAAAAAACCGAAGCTATGATAATTTAAAAAATTAAAACAAAAAAAAAGAAAGAAAAAAAGTATATATATATTTCAAATAATAATTTTAGGGATAACCCTGATTATAAACAAGCGCGAATCCTAACTCAAATAACAACTGCTGTATGTATATATACATACATATAATGTTCACTAACCTTCATAGGATCATGAGATGTGGTGTTTTGAGGTTGCTCCTGGTGAACAACAACTCCGGCAAGTCGTCGGCTCGCGCTCGATGATGTACTCATGGATAATAAGCATAAAAGGGAGATCATAGCAAAACAAGAGATTTTTGACATGATATGTTAGGGTTTAAGAGTGAGAGAAAGATTCAAAGCAAATACTATTGTCTAGTAGCGATGTACTAAAAATGTGTTTAAATAGTGAGTAGAAGAAATCAGCTAATAATACAAGAAGATATCATAAGCATTAAATGAAGGTGAATTTAAGATGTATATTTTGAAGAACATGGTATAGTATGGGTCAGTGACCTCTCTTTTGTCTTCCTGTTTCTTCAAAAATCAACCTACATTCCCTTAAATTCAAGACCTTAGGAAGGAGAGAGAGAAAGAGAGAGGCAATTTAGAGGCTTTAAGAGTAAATATATAAGCCAAAATCTAAGCAAGATAATGCCAAAATAAAGATTTTTCCCGTTTCAGTGAAAATGAATAAAATAAGTACTTTTAATAAATAGAAGACAGAAAATTAAAGAAACTACTATACTACTCCATTTTAGATTTGATCACGAGTCTTGAGTATTACCACTTAATAATTTAACCAACTAAGCTAGCCGATTTCGCAAATATTTAAAACAAGATAGTATAGTTTAGGACATGCCCTAATGTTCGGTTAGATCGAGGGAGTACTAATTAATTAGCTACCAATTAAATTATAGTAATTGTATTGTATACACGCTTTGTCTTTAATTTGGTCCACAAATGTGCAAAATTAATGCATAGGGGGTTTGATTTCCTTGTTTCTTGTTATTTCTAAACACTTTTGACCTCGAATGGCTTAAATTAGAAGGTAATTATGTATTAGAAACTAAAAGAGGCAGACTTTTTGAGCTGGCATTTGTTGAAGCTACCACTAGGTTATTTTTGTTTGGTGAGCTGTGGTCTGCCTTTTTGTTAGCCATTAGTAAAACCTTACCAATTGCAAAAAGATAAGTTCAAAATGATACAAGTATCATTTTGATATATATTCCTTTATATAGTGATCAATGAAATAGTTCATTTCATGCAAAAATCTAATAAATAATCATTCACGTTCTTTCCATCTTTGTTGATATAGATTTTGAAATAAGGTGTATATACTTAAAAGCTTGTCTAAAATAAAATTATTATTTTTATATCGAAACTTAACAACAACATTCAACTATCCAAGGTTTTTATACCATTCAAAATACAATTTTAAAAGTTAAATAATGATTCTAAAATATCCATATATCCGATACGTATCTTTTGATTCTAATCCTATAATGTATTATTGTGAAATGCACATTGAATCATTAATATCATTTTACTAATCATTTAGGTACTTGGTATAGATTATTGTAATTTTCATTATTTTAAAATTATATATAAGAATATATTATAATCATCTGCTTGAACTGTAGAGCGATAGAGGCATAGATAAGGATGGCAACGGGTCAAATCTAGATTGGGACCGGATGAACCCGGATCCGTCGGGTCTAGAAAATGGAGACCCGGATCCAAATCCGACGGGTCCAACGAATCCGGGTCCAAAACGGGTCTAATACGTTTTGTCTAATTTTTTGCAATAAATATAATGTTTGGGTCAAAAAATGCATTTCAAACTTCTGTAAGGGGTTATTAAATTCAACCTAAATTAAAGTTATATAACTAATCTAAAAACACAAAGCAACCAACTTATACACTTATGTTTTGAAATAAAAATTATGAACAACAAAAAAGGTACGATGTTACAAATGAGCAAGCGAAAAAACAACGATGATGTCTCTGATATGAACATCCAAAATCCATCTCTTAGAAGGGCTAATCTTCATCACTATTAACATCATCAACATTTTTAATGAAAAAACAAACAATTTTAGTTTTATTTTTATTATTTTTTTTTATAGGGAAATTATAAATGGGTAAACGAATCTAGATCCGGGTCTGGGAGTTAAACCCGGATCCAGATCCGTTTTTTTCAGCAGGACCCGGATCCGTCGGGTCCAAAATTTGAAAACCCGTATCCGTGAAAAATGAAACTGGATCCACAAATCCGGGTCGCAGGCATATAACATCATAAAGAGTTTATATTGTGATTAAAAAACATCCCATATTTTAATGTGTCTAGATATAGGTTCCTACTTCCCTCACTCTAACATGGCATGCTACATTCAAAACCCTACTTAAATCAAATCAAATCAAATTTGTATTTAGTTTAATTAATACAATTATACATTATACGAGTATGTTTTGTTAAATTTTTTGTTTAATAAAAAAAAACAAGTGGGGCCCTCACAAATGGGGCCCAATAGTAGAGTGTAGGTCCGTAAATGGAGGCCCAACTCCCAACCAGTTTAAAATGACAAAAGAGAAAGGTTTGCAACCCCAGAGCGCAAAGGGCGGCATAACATGCCACGTGGAAGGGACCCATGTGAGACAATCTTATGCCACGTGGATTAGGGCCACTTGGGCCGCATAATTCATGTTCTTTTGTCGCTCACTGTGGGCCCATTACAAACCCAACTCTCTCGCCTACCAATCTTGCCAATTTACCGTAGCTATTGAAGGATCTCATATTCTCATTGCTTTGGACATGGTTTTTGTGTTTCGGTGCTTCTATAGTTCTATGCCTTACAAAATTCACTAGGATTGTATTTATGGAGTCAACTACAACAATCACAATTCACAAATTTTACACGAGTCCAAAATTTACTAGTATATCGTGCCAACGTGTTTTATGATTGTGTTTGTGTTGTGTAGTGTTTTTTTTTTAAATTGATTAGTGAGCTTTATAAATCTAGATTGACTTAATTTTTGTACAACTAAATTTTTTTGCTAGGTAAGGATAACCGAATGGGTTGATCCAGCCTTTATTAGTGGGTAGTGTACTAGTGTGCCCTTTGATAGGCGGGTGGATACGAGATTTTTCCACCCTAAATGCTCCCTAATAAAAGTTGATCTCTTAACGTTGGAGTTATGAGGTGCAAATCACACCATTAGGGTAATTGGCCAAGCCGCCAAGCCTTGCTAGATAATAGTAGATGATCGACTTGAAAAACTTTATACACTCACTAACTCCCAATAAGTTCTTGCATTAGTTAGTGGACAAGTTGTTCTTACTTAATCAAAAATTTGGTGTTCTATATGTGAGAACGATTTTGCTAAAAATCTTGATGATGTTTTTTCTCCGGAAAAAAAAAGGATTGTACTCCCTTTCTTCCAAATTTATGTCTCAAAACACTCAATCTTAATTACTACCTCCGTTAACAGTTATCTACAACATTTATAAAAAAGGGTGTTAACTATTATTTGCAACAAATTTATTTCTTTCCTAATTTAGTAACATTTTTCTGTCAAAACGACCAAAATACCCTCACTTAAAAATTATTACCACATAATACTATACATAATTACAAATCATTATAACCCTAATATGAATTAATTATCTAAATCTTCCCACCTAAATAATCAGATTATCTTTCTCTCCTTCATCTTTCTCTCTCCTCCTTGATCTTTCTCTCTCCTTCTTCTCACCAACCACGCCAAGCACCCAACACCATCTCCACCCTCTCCAACACCATCTTACACCGATTCCCCTGCCTCAAACCACCATTGCCGCCCACCAACAGCAATCGTGCAATTCTGGCCCTGCTAATCACCAATTTGCACCATAGCAGCTCCTTAATCTCTCACCTCGCTGCACCTCATCTTCTTCATCTCTTATCTCTCATTATTAAATTCCACACCATCCTTTAAGTGGATTCCAGATGTGATTGTTTGTGGGTGGTTTGCGTGATTCGTGGGTGGATTTGGTGCGTTGTGGGTGGATTTACAGGTTCGTGGGGGTGGTTTGTGGGTTGGGTGGATTTCGGTGGTGGTTCTAGGTTTGGAGATTCTGGGTGTGGTTTTTGATTAGGGGATTTTGCTCCCACCAATCGAAATGCGCCACGTAGGCCAATCAGGTCCTGCCAAGTGTCCCCCAGTTGGAACTGTCAGGGTTTGCCACGTGGCACACGCCTATTCGTCCACCCTGGACCTATTATGTCATGACACATGGCATCCTCCATGCCTAATGGAGAAACCGGCCACCTAGGCCCAACTTCCAAGGGTAGCCCAATCAGCCCTAGGTTAACCTAAACCTAGGATTGGCACGTTTCCCAAGGTTATAAATACCTCCCTTAATCCTCATTAAGGGGGATTACGCACATTTAACACTCTCACCTAGAGAGACCCAATCACTTTTATTTCCGCATTAATTACTCCTTAATCAAGTACTAACTTGACCGTCGGAGGCGGATCTCCAATCATCCGGAGCATCCGTTTGTTTTGCAGGTACAGGCGTCCGGTTCCAGTCTCGGAATTGTAACTCTCCCGCAGGACATCAGAAAACCCCGAAACATTTTGGCGCCGTCTGTGGGGAGAGTACTTCTGAGATGGCATCCACGTCTGTACCGACTCCTGAAGAGAGGCGTCCCCTAGACGACCCTCAAGTTTAGTCGGACCATGATACTGAGGAAGAATTTGAAGTTGAAGCTCACACAGCTTTAGACGGGACCCTAAGGGCCCACCGCACCCGTCATACCGAAAGGAGGGAACGGGAGCATCTTCAAACTGGACTCAATGATCCAGCCGGCGCACCGCCTGTTCAGCAGCAGCCGGCTGATGGGTCTGCTCCCATTACAAGGAACGAACTCATGACCTTCATTAGGGGCTTCAAGGGAGAGATTCAAGAGTTGCTCAACAAGAAGCCTGCTCTGGCCAAGGAACAGTCGGCTAAGAAACCTTCCACTTCAGGGAAGACGAAGCCAGCTCAAGGGCGAGAGGCGACCCCTCATCCTAACTCTAGGAAGTGGGAGCTGCCTGCCCTTGATTTCACAAAGTACCGCTTTCCTACTCCAGGAAAGAGGAAACCTGTTCGTCATATTCAGGCGGACGGGACGAAGAAAACATACACAGATGCTCGGCTATTGCTAGAGCAGAAAAAGAATGACCGATTGTCAGAGTCGGCCTCTACTTCAAATTTCCAAGATAGTCTGCGCAATACCTCGATGAGGCATACTCAGTCGCATCATGAGAGTCAGTCAGGCGGTACCTCCCGTCATTCCGGCTTTCATAGTGACCAGGCGGTACCAAACTTACCATTTGTACCGCAACAACAATATTTTTTGCAGCCACCTCTGTTTGGTGGGCATGCAGCAAAGAATGTCCAACCTATGGACTGGCAGCTACGGTTGCTTAGACTTGGGGAATAGCCGTCGGCCTTATCCAAGGAAATTGCTGAAGCCGCTCAGCCGACCAAAGTGAAAAGTGTATTAGTAGGCGCCTATGACGGCACTACTAACCCAGAAGACCATTTGATGACATTCACCAACCT